GTGTCTTGCGCTTTCGACCATGCTTTCTTTTGCCCTTCTCCCTAGCTGCCATCTCTTTAGTAGCGCGTTCCGCTCGTGCCCTTTCGAGGTCCTCCCAGCGCATCACCTTGCCCTCTCCCTTTCCATCCTGGAGAACTAACGAGCGGGTCGTTCGGCGGACCTTGGCCTCGTTGTTGACGTTATACAGAAGGCGATTGTGGTCCTGTAGGAGGCTCTGTTTGGCAACGGATATCTTGGCGGCACTCGCAAGCTTCTGCACACGCCTCTCCAAGCGTTGCCTACTCGCCTCGTCAGACGCATAAACATCACGCTTGATCAGGTCGTGTAACACTGTAAAGCCCTCTGCCGTCACCGGTGTCACAGGAGTGGTGGGATCCAGCAGTGAGTCGCTCTGGGAGGAGGATCCCACCTCACCAGCGGTCGAGACAACGAGGTCTACAGGCGGCTTTGGTGTGTTACGAAGCACTCTCTCTGGGTTAAAAGGAAATAAGCCTGTAGCAGCCCATCCAGCAAGGATATTCCTCTTAGTTAATGCCCTCTCTCTCGCTGGTGCATACAAGTAGGTAAAATGCTCCTTGCCGATTGTATTAATGCCGCCACGGTTCAGTCGCTCAACCTGATCACGATAGGCTGTCTTTAGGGGTGCAAAGACGGAGACATCACAGGGCTGTAGTTTGTGAGAAGTATGAGAAGGTAGACGGCATAAGACGATGTTGTTCTCAAAACAGAACTCCAGGATCTCCAGCGTCTCGTGCGTTCCGAACCCATCACAGATTAGTACTCGTGGTTTACCATTAGCTCGGACCCTAGTTTCGACATCAAAAACGCGCTTTAGCCACTCAAGGCTTATCCTAGAATCGTTGTACCCGTTCTCAGAAACACCGTAGTGCCACCCAGGGGTTGAGTGCGTGGTCCAGTTGCTCCGGTGTGTTGAGGCCGGCCAAATTATCAGAGGCGGTAGCGGCCTACCATCAGCACTAATGCACTCTATAGCAGTAACTATGGTCCGCTTGACACCAGCGCCTCTGTGCCCCCGCACATCATCTCTACCTACAAGAACCTTGACAGAGCCTAGCATGCTTAGCATGACTCCCGTCTCGTCCATGTTGTATACGTTCTCTTGCAGGATAGCCGGATCTTGTAGTACCTTGCCAATGATATCGAACCACCCTGTGATTTTATCATATATGTGCACCTCGTGACGCTTCCAGTCTATAGACCTTACTCTCTTCGATTTGAGTTCGGGGTGGCGCTTCCCAAAGGCTTGAGCCCAGTTCTTACCAGGAGGCTTCTTCGATCGAGTCGTGGGGGATCGATGTCGGGCAATGCTGAAGGCTAGCGTTGGTATATACTTAATGCGGACGGGTTGTCCGAAACTAGACATTAGTAGCAAGAACGCAACCAGTGCTTTCTCCTCTTCTACGTTGAGGTATTGCTGGGCTTGGGCTTTGTTCTCGATTGAGGGCCGTCCTCGCCAACGATTGTATAGCGTGGTGAGCGCGATACCACTAGCATCAGCTCGGGCAGCCCATGTTCTCTTGTCGTGTAGCGGAGCCTCTGCAAGTGCCTTGCTAGCAGGATCCATTTCGACGATCGTGGTGGTACAGCAGCCATGGACAGCTAGCTAGCGAGGATGCCTCTACTCGCTGGACTGCTAAAAATAGCCCTTGTCCGTGGATGCTTCTAGAAGTACACCGCACTTATGCTAGCGCCCTCCTGTGTAAAGCTTGCGAAGCTGGCTCTCTCAAGCAGCGGTCATTA